CGGAAACTAGTAATTTCATGCTAAGTTATTTTTATTAAACTCTTATCATGCCCATGACAAATCCCCTTAACGGGAACCTTGTTTGGGGATCTGATTTTAATTAAAAGAGCTCTGTTATTGATGATAAAATCTCATTCACTCTCTTCAACTAGTCTGCCTCCCGTCACTACTTATGTTTACCAATGAACATCCCTCTGTACACCTATGGATATTTCTATATTTTTTCTTAGTCCTATACTTCCAAAGCTGATTAAACAATTTCTATCAGTCTGCTCCTGACTTAAAAGCCACCTCCATCTAAATTCCATTGCTTGTTGTGTACATGTGTGTACTTGTATATTTTTTATCTATAGCATTAGACTATGCTGGGTAACAACCCCAAATATAAGTGGCTTACCACAGTGGTTTCTTTCTCACTCACATTACACCCTGATAGTTACAGGCTGGTATAACTCTGCTTTATACAACTTCTCATTCCAGGACCCAGAATGAAAAAGCACCCTCATCTAGAACATGTTATTCTCAAGTTAGAAGGAAAAAAAGCAAGAGGGTTAGAATAAATAAAGAACTCCTATGATTCAAAACAAAAAACAAACAACCTGATTAAAAAAATGGGCAAAGGACTTGAACAGACATTACTCCAATGACGCAACAGAAATGGCCAACAAGCAAAGAAAAGATGCTCAGCATCAGTAATCATTGGAAAAGTGCAAATAAAAACTACATTTTTCTGAGTATTCAAAACAAACAACAAACACTTTAAAAATATTTTTATTATTGAGTAAAAAGAGAGGTATTGTTATTAATTTGACACACACACCCTCACTCCATCTTCCAATTCCACTCCAACCATAAATAAATCAAGGAGCCTGGGTTGTAGGCAGTATGTGCATAGTAGGGTAGGATGGAAGAGAGGAAGTTATCATCTTAACTTGTATAATCGGTATTGTACATCATATTATTAAAATCTCCAATTACAGACATTAAAAGGGGGCTCAAAGAGCTTGAGTAATTTGCCCAGTGTGTCACAGTGAGGTTCAGGCATGTGGCCCAGAATGGAGGAGGTACAAACACTACAACTTGCTCATCGAGTCACACAGAAGCATAGATATGGGGGGGGGGGGGGGGGGCGGGTGGAGTGGTACTACCTGCAAACTTCCCAGAGAAGGAAATAACATGAGGTGCTGGGTTATTCTTATTTACGCCATGGGCCATTCAGATCCTTTGCCGCTCCCTGGAAACTTGGGAGATGATGCCTGTTTTACAAATAGATCCCTCAAGTCCATCCATCTGTCAGATGTTCGTTGGTTTTTTTTTCAGAGATGATTTGAACATGCACCTGTTATGGGTGGTTTAACCACCTGAGAGGTCAAATCTGTCCTCAGAAATGCTTTCACCATTACTAGGACCCGGGAGAACACAAGAGATTCTCTGTCCACAGTTAGGCCTCAGACAAGAGGCATGGGTCAGGCATAACTTTTGTTTGTATTCAGCGAGCCAAGATTCATGTAGTCAGTTCCCCGGGCCTTCATTCAGAAACTGATTCCCTCGTAGCTCCCTTTCCTTTGTTATTATTGATTTTCATTTCCTGGGAAACACAACATGACTCTCATTAGCGAATGGGGCCACACGCCAAAGCCGCAGATTCCAATCTCCTCCCTCGACTCTTCCCTGGACCGTGTGGACCCTGTGTAACATGACGTCCTGTCCTTTGCTCCTGGCCTTGCAGGAAGGCATGCTGCAAGCTACGGTCTCCGGCTTCTATTTTCCATCTGCAGGGTGATTCACTGCAAGGAGAGAAACAGCTGAAGATGTGGAGACACACACCTCACAGACAGCTGTGGGAATCAGATTGGATGTGCACTCAAGCATGCTGGAAATAAAAGACCATTGACTTTGGCATAGGGATGAAAACCTCTGCCAAACACACATAGACAGTCTCTCTCTCTCTCTCTCTCTCTCTCTCTCTCTCTCTCTCTCTCTCTCTCTCTCTCTCACACACACACACACACACACACACACACACACACACCTTTCAGAGAGACTGTACAGTTCCCCACATATGGCAAACATATTTTAGGGGAAGCACCATGACTAGAGGCCAGTGGGAGAGAAAGAAAAGGAAAATAATGAGAAAAATCTTCAATAAGCCTAAATTGTTCCAGTCAGACCGCTGAGAAAGAATGCAAAGGATTGGAGATGAAAATTATTGGTAAAATCAGCATTATAACCTAGCTAAATTCTTCCCTACTTCAAATGTTACTAGAACTTACTCCGAAGACAGTAGCAACCGGGGAACTAGCCTTTCTGTTTAGCTGGAAGCACTTTCCTAACACAACAGACACACGTGAAAGAGTACATGATCTAAAGCAAACATGTTTTCCTCTAATTCACAATTTCAAATATTCTTAATTTTACTTGTAAATAATTGCGTGGGGGGGACAGGGGGGAGGAGGAATACATGTATAACTCATTTTTTCTAAATTTAAATTCTTTATTGCTTAAAGTATTACGAGTCTCCTTTTTCCCCCATTGACCTCTCCCCAGCCCCTCCCACCCCCCAGCACATGCCCTCACCCCCCTGCTGTCTGTGTCCATTGCTTTTGCTCATATGCATACATACAGGTCCTTTTGTGATCTTGTACCACCTTACCCCCTCCCCTGCCTTCCCTCGTAGGCTGGACAGTCTGTTCGAAGCTTCTATGTCTCTCGTTCTATTTTTGTTCATCAGGTATAACTAATTTTAGCTGGCAGTGGCTCCCAACACTTTACGTACAATTGTACTCTAAATTTCTGTTTTCTCTGTGACATATATAATGATCAATTAAATGCACTGTGAAATTCCCCAACATAAAGGAACTAACAAAATCCTTGTTTGAATGTAAACAACTGGTCTCTAAGTTACGTTTTATAAGAATTGATTTATCAAACTTTCTAAAAATAAAACCAGAGGAAAGACTCCAGCTTCTGCTCTGCGGAGTTATCGGTGAAAGTTAATCAGATCGCCTGAAGGAACACAAACAATCTGATGACTGGCCATGGTGGAGGGGAAGACACACTGGCCTGGTGTTCTTGGGGCCCCATTAGAAGGCTCTCTTTAAACTAGGTTTAGAGTTTCGCCCCGAGGCTGGAAGGGAGGTGGCGATACATGTTAAGTAGAATGATGACCATGTGACAGTGTGGGAAATGGACTCTCCATTTCTGAGACTGACACAGGAGTAAGAGGGTAATTAACTGTCCAGGCAAGAAACAAGGAGGGCCTTGAGGTCAGTCTGGCTCTCCACTGCCCATGTACCACCAGCTCCTGAGGCAAAGGGCTGGTGGAGGCAGAATAAGGTTCTTTCCCATGAGTGTATCTTCCAGAAGCGGTACCTTGGGGAGAACAAAAGCCCCGGATTTGCCACCTACTAGCTGTATGGTCTCAGGTAGCAAATTAAGATTTATTTGTTAAGCATTTTACTAAGTATGAGGAACCCCTCAGAGATGGAGTTAAGTGTATTTTCTAATTTATTTACTCTTTTCATACCTTCATTTATTCACCTGTGAAAGAACAATAATGCCTGACTTATATGCTATTTTGAGGATGAAAAGAGAGATCATATGCATGAAAAGGCTTCATAAATCTTAAAAAGGTTAGCTATCGAATAAAGACTACTTTCAAGATTTTTTCCTAGATCTAAAAATGCTATGAGTATTTTCTTTCCAATCCCCAACTATTGGAGACTCCATAGGTTGATGAAAACAGTTGTTAATGGTTGATTTGAATATTGCAAGACATAAAATATGAACAACCATGATGATGTTTTCACCTGCAAACATGAGGTCAGATGTTTAAAATAATAGCTGCTAAAGGGATACTAGCTTATCTATAATAATAAAAGCATAATATGCTAATTAGAACGGACGGCCTTCTGGGTTGAGATCGGGCTGCAAGGGAAGCCTGGGTCTCAGGTGCCTGCCAGCAGCCTGACGGAAGCCCAGGTCCTGGGTGCCAAAGGGAAGCCGGTGCCAGCAGTCAGGGGAAGGAAGGCCTACTCTTGCATGAATTTCGTGCATTAGGGCTCTATCTGAATGAGAAAACCCTTCAATTTCAGGATAAACCATGAGGAATAACTTATCATCCTCCCCAGGAATAAATGAAACTTTATGGCCATTCTAAAGGACTGATGTCTAGGCACTCCTTCCTAGGCACTGTATGGGCACTAGGCAAGCACAGTTTCTATTCACACTGTTAAAATGGTGATGAGCTACTATGCGGGATGGTGGTTTATGGCCACCAAACGTATCATTCCTTGGTTGGGGCTCTGCCATAAGGTGAAAGCAGATATGTAATGAGGACATGATCCATTTAGCATTGTCATACTTTTTGCTAGGGACTCTCTTACGGACCCTGTCTCTAGGCTAGCCTAAGCTATCTGCCTGTCCCAGAGCGAGCGGATTCATCCACAGTGAAGATGTGAGTCAATATTTTGGCTCTGTTCTGAAGCCTTTCTTGGCTTGGACTCAAGTCACTGGATGTTGCCTTCCAAATTTCCCAGCTACTTCTCTCAAATCTTTTCAAAAGCTATTATACAAAGAATGACAATGGGACTTCCAAATGCAATGCCCGATAAAGCAACATAGGAGTTACGTAAGCCACTGGTCGCTAAATTCTATCCTTGATCCCTCAGGAGATTAGGCAACAGTATGAAGTCATCCGTTTGAATGCAACGCAGTACAGAAAACAATTCCAGGCTCGGAAGTACTAATAAGACTCGACTTTTGGTATATATACACTTACCATGCATAGTAGGGGAAAAGTTGAAAAAATACTACTGCATTATATAGTGATACTTAATGATATGTATACAAGGAAAACATTTAAATGAAACCATCACATTGGATGAAATCACCCCTAACCAATTTTTTTTTTAAAAACTGGAGCTAGGTAAACCCATTCAAAATTTTCCTCAAAGAATCTGAAAATAGAAGCGTCCTGGGTTCCCCTCTGAGAGGCTGACCTGAGATTGCCGGAAAAGAATGCTCCTCTCTGGGTCTATGCCGCAGGCCAGGAGAGCCGCCGTCATGTCCAAGATGCTCTGGCGCAGGACCGCTGGGTCTTGGGGGACAGTGATGGAGTGCAGGTCAACGATGCTGTACAGCACGGAGCCGGGCTCGCTCTGTAAGCTCACCCAGCTCTCAATGGCTCCCAGGTAGTTGCCCAGGTGGGGGGTCCCTGTGGGCTGAATGCCAGAGAATACTCGCCTCAAGGCATCTTTCTGGAACAGAGGAAAACAGACATATTTGCTTTTGGGGTAGACTCCACGAACCTTATGTCCAGGTAGCTACAATGGCTAGACTTATTTTTTTAAAACTGCAACCTGACAATCATTATTCTCATGCATTTGTTTTGTGCCTACTCTGGGCAAAGCAGTGTTCGGTGCTATTAGGGACAGAAAATTATATTTAAAACGTGGGGTTTGCTCAGAGGCGTAGCAGAGTGGTGGAGCATCAAACTATGAACCAGAAGGTGATGGTTCGATTCCCGGTCAGGGCACATGTCCAGGTTTCAGCTCAATCTCCAGTGCGCGGCATGCTAGAGGCAGCTGATCAATGATTCTCTCTCATCGTTGATATTTCTATCTCTTTCTCCCTCTCCCTTGCTCTCTGAAATCAATTAAAAAATTTATTTTGAAAAAATAAATAAAACATGGGGGTTTTTTGGACTAAAAAACTTACAAAGACACATATACGAAACGGTTTGCATTCCCCAAGAGAATGCAATCAAATTGGAGAGAGAGGATGTGTTTATGAAAAGATAAGAGTACAATCTGGCAACATGACCTTGACCAGTTTGGAAAGATAAATAGTGGGGTACAGGTGGGAGTTCACAGAAAGAAAAGATGACTGTGGATCCAGTGAGAAAGACTTCAGACATAGAATCAAATTTCATTGGAAAGTAAAAGGACAGCATGGGTTTTTCATGCGATTTCATTCATTTTGAAGTAAAGGCAATGAAGGCCATAGATTAGCGGTAAAGGCTACTATTTACTTAATTTAGTTTTCTCTAACAATAATTGCTGTAATATCAGCAATATTATATAATTAAGTGTATATATTAAATGTAGTTAATTATATAACTAATATAATTAAGTGTGCAGGATCTTGGGCTAGAAATTTGGAAACCGACACTATTTCTAATATGACCTCTTGATAAAGTTACTTAACTTTTTCATACTTCAGCTTCTTTTTACTTTGATAAATCATACTTGGCTTTTTATTACTTCAAAAGAAGTTACCCATCGTTGGCCCTTTACACTTATTTATTACTCAAGATTATTTTAGAATTATCTTGTCAAATTCCAAGAGAAAAAATAATTGTTGGGGTTTTTGGTCAAATTATGTGGAATCTATAGATTGCTTTGAGGAGAACCAACATCTTCATACAGTGGGTTCTCCAATGCAAAAAACACTTAACATATAAATATCTAAGGTAAAACCCGTGGCTGTAGTTGACAACACTGTGTTGTGTAATTGCAATTTGCTAAGAGACCAGAAGTTAAATGTTCTCACTAGAACAACAACAAAAACAAACCCATAAAAAACAAACAAATAACATAAATATGTGACATGATGGATATGTTGCTCAACTACATGGGGGGAACCTTTTCACAATTATATCATATTATCTTCATGCTCACTTTATATATCTCACAACTTTATCAACTATATCTCAACAGAGCTGAACTTTTAAAAAAGTAACATTAAAAAGTCCTTATCTTTATACCTGATACTAGCTCCTAAGAGAGAAATGTGAGTGCCAAGGCTGTTTATATTTGCCTTACCCGTCCCCAGGAATTCCAAACACTACAGATACAGTCTGTTTTCCCCATAGCTGCTCACTTTTCTCTCTGCTCCTGAGATGATAGCCCTAAAGTAGAATGCCATGTCATAGGTCCAAAGTTGCATTTGATGTAAGCACTCAGGAGACCTAAAAGATTTTTGACTCTGAGGATATGAAATATATCTCCAAAGTGACTGCAAAGAAATATACCTTACCAATTAAAACCACACACACAATAGACCTGCAAATGACTAACTCCCCAAATCATAATTTAGAAATAGTTCATAATTGAGAACTGAGGCTCTGGGAGCAGGAGAGAAAGAGGGGGGAGAAAGGGAAAGGAAGGCCAGGGATGGAGGGAGGAGAGATGGAGAAAAAAAGAGAGAGAGTTAGCATAGAATAAGTACCTATCACTGAGGCGTCCTCCAATATCTGAGACCTTAACCAGCCCTGGGTTCCTGATGTTGGAATAAGCTTTCAGTGAGGTAAAAATGATGAATGGGCTTTAGGGTCTGATTGATGAAGGGAGAAAGCAAAGCAGAAAAACAAGCTCTGAATTTAATAAATGGAAGAGAGAGAAAAATACCATCCAGAAATACCTGACCTGTCCTAGGATGAAGAGAGACTCTTTGTTAATGTAAAGAGTTATGAAGACTAGGAATATCAATCTGAAAAAAAAAAAAAAAAGAGTGGGAATATTTCCACATCAATCCCTCCGTGGTCAAACTAAGGACTTATTCCCCAGGAGAAATGGATGAGTCTTGGGCTAGAAATTCTTGAGAAAACTAGAAGAGAAAAGCACCAGAGGACAGACAGAGAGCAAAAGGAATTGCGATCAGTAGGACAGGCCCGAACAGGTCCTAATCCATCTTTTTCATTCTCCAGTTTCTGTGATTTTGTATGTCCACACAGAGGGAATGATGTTATCGAGAAATAAGAGCAACAAGAAATGTTCCGTTCAATGTTTAAGCAGCCATTAAGCAAATACAGCCTGTAAATGAGAACTGGACTTTGGTCTTAAAAATATACAGAGCATCCTGCTCTTCTGCGGGGAGTTTATGTTCGGTCTGTTCCCGGGCGGGAGTCAGCAGGCAGCCGGGCGGCGTGGCGGGGGAGACACGCCTGGTACCGTGACATCACAGGGCTGGAATGTGGAGTTTGGATGGTGGGAGGATGGGGGTTCTGTGTTCAAAAGCACTAGAGTTGGGGGGTGGGCGGGAAACCTGGGCTTCCCAGTGGACGGGAGGCAAACCACAAAGAAAGCAGCTGTAGGACTAGCCACAGGCATTCATTCACTCGTGGGAAGCCCAGAGCATCAACCTACAACCCCATCACAGAGTACTGAGGGCAAAAAGGAGCATTTTCACAAAACAGGACTTCATTTTTATTTCAGATGTACTTCCTTACCAAATGCCACTTCCAACCAGCATGACGACTGGCTCATTTTGTTACAGGACCAGCACCCCCAGTGGGCAGCTGTGGCCCTGGGATCGGAAATGTTTCGGAGGAGAGGGTGGGTGTGCGAATCAAAGGGAGAGCATGTGGATCCATCCAGCAGATGTAGCCAACACTCTTCCCATCTGAAGGTACAGTGCGTGTGCAAAAATCATAATTATCTTAACCTGTTAACCGGGGAGTTCCCTTTTTAATTATGCAACCTGTAATGGGTGCGTACTCTTTCACTAAAACGTGTCAGTATGTCACGCCCAGAGGACATAATTTCATATTATTATTATTTTTTATTTATACTTAGTTAAAATAAATGATATATATATATTTTTTTTTCGTTTATTTGTATCTAAAGCACAAAGGAAAATACAAAATTACAAAAAAATAGAAAAGAATACCAACAAAAAAATGGAAACATCGAATTAAAAAATTATAAATTTTACAAACAATTATAAAGATTACAAAAAATACATACCATCCCTCTCAGGGCACAACATATATTTCCAGGACATATTCATACGTCCTACCCATTCCCAATATTGTTCACGTTTGACGTATTTATAGGTCCCACTCAGTTAACAGGTTAATTTTAATGACAGCACCCAAATACAATTGAAAAATCCCAAGCTGCTAATTATGGGAAAAGATAGTTTTTGTGATTCACTAAATAGAGCTTCTGTCTTTAATCGCAAGTGAAGGAAATACATTAAAAGGAGGCTGCCTACTGGTTTTGAAACTCAATGACGATGGGAACCAGACAGCAACCAAAGATTTCAAGACTCATCACAGAATCCTGCTTACATCCAGCTACATCGTCAATTGTTCATCACACCTGTCTCAACCACAGTCAAAGGTAAGCCAAAAACTTGGCTGAACAACTCCTATGTCCAACTGGTCCTATGAATGGCATGTTATCACAGATTGTGATAAAGGCCTAGCCAGTGTGGCTCAGTGGTTGAGTGTCAACCTATGAACCAGGAGGTCACAGTTCAATTCCCGGTCAAAGCAGGCTTGATCCCCAGTAGAGGGCATGCAGGAGGCAGCCAATAGGTGATTCTCATCATTGATGCTTCTATCTCCCCTCTTCCTTCCTCTCTCTGAAATCAATCAAAAATATTTTTTTTTAATAATCAACAATCATATCAACTAATTGGGATGAAAATCTCATTCTTATTTATTCTGAATGTAAATATACAGCTTAACATTTAGCTCTTTGTTGGCGTCTCTCATCCTTTATGTCATCCAACTGTTTCAATCCTGGGCTCCTCATCACAGAATATCTCCTCAAAACTCTTTAAAATGTGTCCACTACCAATTAGTGATTTAAGAGCTGAAACAGAGGCGCCCCTGCATAGCAAAATAGCGCTTGAGCCGGGAGGACCCAGGTGCTGTGTCTCGGAAGCTTTCCTTGGCTGAGGCTCAGCATTGTTCTGCCGCAGTCAGCTCTTTCGTCCAGAAAATACAGGAGCCCGGAGTCTGCGGGGTCTGGGGAGAAAGTGCTGATTCAGCACCGGGGAAAATGGGTTTGTGTCTGCTTACAAATGAAACCAGATGCTCAGATCCTGGAATCAATACAGTAAATATTAATTCAATATAAGAGAAAGCAGGTCAAGTATGGCCCCCAAACAAGAAATAATATGTAGGTCATCAATTAAAACAGAAGAAAAGGTTGTTTTTTTAAAAGGGGGGGGGGGGGGGAAATTACCTTTAAAAAAAAAAAAAAAAGACTGCAGTTTTCTTAAGGGCGTAGGTGATAACACTTGGTACTTATTGTTAGGCCAGTGAAAGGATTTAAAAAGTTTCCTAGAGACTTGTTTAAGCCGCTTCCAAATATTAAGAGCGGGGCACACCTTTCCCTGTGTGCCTGTGCTGTCCTCCATCAGCGGATGGAATGCTTCCACACAGGACTTTTCCTTCTTGGGCAAACGTCCATGATCAGAGCTTCCCTGGCACCTGCCATGCTCATCTCGGGAGATGAACAGGAAT